GCAAACAATTATCTCTGCTAGTCATGAACTTTGTACTCATTTTCTGCTTGCCATAAATTGCTAAGTCTTATCAAATTTCACACGTGGAGGATGCAAAACAAAATAATTTTATTTACGTTTCATATATGTAACTTGAAATAACAAAAGTACCATAAATTACTATATCAGTACCACAGAATTCCACTGTAATTTTTCAAGCTTATAACTAAGCTGTATTTGGGTATAAAAAAATATGATTTTTATAGTTCACTAATGTCTTGCATTACTGCTTGGAATCTAGCATGAAAAAAAGTTCCACGCGCAAATACTTTGCAGAGGCATAGTAAATCATTAGGGGGGACATTCTGAGCTTTCAATTGGTTCTACACACGTCATTGGACAAAGTAGGTGTACATAAGCATTTCCAAATAATGGACGATAGGAGGCTCTTATCGTAGATTCTAGCTTGTCAATATCAGTAATTTGAGTATCTAATTTTAAGAAACTATTGAGTTTGTACTTGGATATCACAAACATCTAATTTGAACAAATGCCGCATTCAACATACCACATGACACGCAAAAATTGATATGTAGGATTTTGAACATTTTTTTCTTTTAAATTAAGAAATTAACTAATGTCTAATAATAAAATTTGAATTATAATCTACAATTTGACATCAAACTTATTAACATACGTTCATAAAATAGTAATTCAAAAAAATTTTGATTGTGAGTCTACAAAAGCAATGATATAGCCATTGACCAGTGACCATAGGTAGACTTGTGTTGGTAGAGTTAACTGAATGTGCCCAGTGTCTGTCTAATGGACTGATCCTGTATTGGAGATGGAATGTTGACTGTAGTTGTGAATTTTGATAAAAGAGTTAGCACAAAGGATTACATATAAAGTGTAATAGGCTTAAAATAAGACCCAAAATTCGAGCTCTTTCGAATAGTTGACTATTCTTCTTCAGGAAAACAAAGGGTCATAAATTGTAGTTGTGAATGTACCATGTTTATCTATGCAAAATATCATAAGCTTCATGTGAAGGATAAGAGTAATCTTAGTCTATTGTACAGTTTGCATATTGTATTTGCATAGCATCTTGAACTTCCAAATTACATATCTACAGTTTTTCAAGATCAATATATAATGTATGGGGTATTTTCTCTGACACAAACTGTTGCTAAATCATCAGTGCAGGGTAAAATGAATAGTTGATAACTCTGAGATCAAATATATGATACCATGTTGAAAGGTACTCTGTAAAAGGTCATGCCTTGCACATTTTAACCTAGTCCCATGTATTTAGGATTGATATGTTAAGTTGTTCTAAGTATTTTATCAAAAATCCTGTTAATGTATGGTTAGGTATATTGCAGTATTATATACTCTGTACATCCTTCTTTATATCTTGGGGACTCAATTTATAGAATACCTGTGTCAGGTTTTATAGGGGCCCGGATTCTTTACAGTAGGTGTCTGTGACTTGTTGGCGATAAATTC